ATAATAAATTCATTCATGGATTCTTTGGGGGTACGCTTGACCTGGTTTGACTGTAATCGCCAATACGATCACAAGCAATGAATCTTGAAACACAGAAACTCACAAAACGGATCGAAATCCACCAATCACAAATCACAAACCAAGACCTTGTGAACTCAGTGAAGTACACTTGCGTTTCCTAAGAGGTCCGCTAACATGATTCGCGTCTGACATTTTTTTTAGAAAGACAATTTTAATTGCTTGTGTCCTAAGAGGTCATCTCAATTTGCTGTTTTTTTTATTATCTTCATGCCCATTTTCTTGTCCTTATTTTGTGATTGATCTATTTTGTAAGGTGGAGTGGATAATCCTATGAGGGACGATTTGGATATCGTTTGATCCGAAATTTTTCAAAACAGCAGGAAGAAGTGGTTTGGATAAAATTTGGCGACGCTGTTTCGAGGGACGTGTCGATATATTGTTAAAGTATGTTATCGCGCCTTAAACTTACAAAAATGCACACACTGTTCGCGGTAGGCCCACACTAAAAAATGACACTGAGCTTTTTCGGAAGGGGCTGGTCCGCGAACTCAAAGAAAAACAAGCGAAATTGTCAAGACGTTCAATCAACTACTCATAGACGAAATGACGAATCGGAATATCTGGAACGTACGTGTAAAATGGATAAGATCGACCGAGTTTGAAGAGAGGAATGTGTATCAAGTTTGAGATTCGAAAGATTTGTAAAGCTGGTAATCAGTGTGACAACAGTGATTTCGATATTCACAAGGCGGAAGACAAGAAGCTGCCTGTGTTCATAAAAATGTGTTCCGATGAAGGACGAGACGATTGTCAACAATTGAAACCAAAAGGGAGTCACGCTTCTTTTGTAACTACTGTGATGGCTGTAACAATTCTTCTTATGCTATCAATTTTGTTTAGCACTGTACTTGTTTTTGTATTACGCTTTGTGTTTTATGTAACACAGTACATGCACGATGCTCGGCGTCGGGATTTTGCGTTGTCGGCAAGTTTTGTTTCAGAATTAGAGTGTTTTGGTGGCAGTGAGGTGACAGGAAAAGGCAATGACTCAATTGTACAGAAGCAAAATTGTGTTGTAGAGGAAATAAAAGAAGTTGAATAGGGATCTCGCCGTGTGTGGGAAAATTACTTACAACAGAACTTACAATTCCGTTGGTTTAAATGAGGTTAGTCAATTCTCTAGAAGCGGTTGTGCAAATAGCAGACTACTGATGAAGAAAATAAAATCTTTGTTACAGAAAACACGGAAAGTAAGAGTTTTTGTATGGAAGGGTATTCGGAAAAATACACCATTATGGTCTAAAAGTCATTGTTACGTTAAAAATACAAATGGTTTAGACTTAAAGAGGTAAAGAAGTGACTGTAACAGTGTGAGGTTTTTACTTTAAGGGCAACTCCAAAATTAGTTCGTAAACGAGGGAAGGTGTATCTGTCGGCTAAGTTGAATCACCGGGTTAATTTGGGCTTGGTATTGATATCGAGAAGAATCCAGGCCCTTCAGTTTAAGTAGATGCTACAAAAACAATTCGTGCTCCATACTGTCAAGGAAACGTTGCAGTATTTGTGGAAAATGCTGGACAACAATGTGTTGCAATGAGTCTGTGCGCTTTAATTTACAGTAAGATAAGAAGGATTACTTCAGCTGATATGACTCAAATAGTGATTGTTGGTAATCAGTTATATTCTAGTCCGTCACTGCTGGAAAGAAAATCTATGTTGATGTTAACATAATTGCCAGGGATGGTTACAGTGTTTGAGCGATTTTTCCAGCTTGAATACAGTGAAATTTTTTCTTCTAACATGCATGGTGATGCAAGAATTAAGGGGTATCATGTCCTATGTGGCAATTTGGCCGAAAGCAAGTCTGTGTTGAAGATGTGCTTTTCAAAACATTGTGGTGAAGTGACAGGATTTTTGTTGTGGACTGGAACATACTGTGTGAAACTGCAATAAGCGTAAAAGTCTCTTGGCCTTTAATAATAACACCACAAACCAAATTCGAATGAAGATTTATTGTAAACGACGTGCTTGGCACTTGAAATAAAATGCGTAGTGCAAAGAGCTCGAGTGTGCATACAAACGGCGTGAGTTGAAACTAAAACGGTAAAAGAGCAAAAAAGTTACAAGTTGCGACTAAGGTAAATTAAAGTAAAGAAATAACAAAACTGCAAAACGCGGGCTGTGAAGTACACTTACATTGTTTCGGCCAGAGAAAACTGCTGTGAAGCGGACTGCGAATAACGCGAAGAGACTTGCAAGAAACTAAACAGAACTGCGTTAAGCGCGGACCAAAATCAACTGCAAAAACTGTACTGCAAAACTACGATACGAAAAATACGCTAGAACATGCGGAAAATAAAACTATAGAAACTTACAAAAGGACGAAAAGAGGTATAAACTAATTGGCCTACGCAAAGAAAAAACAAATTACGCAATGTTACACTTGGATCTTACACTGTGTGGTTCCGCAAAGAAGTAGAGTGAAGGATTAATTTTCTCTGGGAGGATATGATGACAGTTGTTTAGCTGCAATAAGGCATGTTAAAAGTATCGTACGTGCAATGCAACCACGCCCAAATATACGCTTCCACAGCGTCTTGTCTATGTTTAGTGAAAATGGCTTAGTCTAAATGGATGTGGCATGGGTGATAGTGACCTTCCAATCTCTACCAAATTTGTGTACCTTTTATATACCGAAAAAGTGCTGTGAGAAGTTATAGCCGTTCATAGCTCAGGATTAACCACTTTCAGATAAGAGTAGGTAAAAGAATGGAGGAAGGATAGTTCATTGCAACTGTATGAGTCACGGTTAAGTTATTTTAATGATAAGGCTAGAATTAATTATTGTAAACCTCCTTCAGTCTACCAAACTGGCGGCCCCTCGAGGCCTCGTTAAAACTGTCATTCCTGTATCCTTGAAACCAAAGAGAATTCGAGCCTTAGAATATACATTCAGTATTTAGGACACCATTCTAAGACTACATGCCAAAAATCAGCCAAATCGATGAGGTACCGTGTCTGGCCGAAGTTCGAATTTTACAGAAAATCACTCTTAAAACAAATATAAACACAAACATCCTCTGCTCGCAAATAGCTTGCTAATCGAGATGGGCAGAGGAAAACATACAGTAATTTATAACTAGCCGGGAAGAAATTAAGTAGAGGAAAGGAAACGGAAGACAGATCGATATAAAGGACAAGAAGATGGACTGAAGTTATTACAATTTATACAACGTACCAAAATATACAAACTTATTTTGCATTTCTTGTCATCTGATCTTGCTTAGTTTATTAATTAAAGTAAGTGTCTCAACGTAAGTATCCCTCCAATTCTAAAAAGCCAAATCAAATCAAATATTTATTATGTAAGAATACATAAAAGGAAACTTCAGAGGTTATCACCATCTAGAACGTTCCCTGTATAAATATAAAGTAAATATACTACAATGTAAAATTTAAGAATAATTCTGAGAAATGGCTAAAAAAATTTACAAAAATTTCACAATACTTTCTAAGTTTACTTCGAAAAATGCTGAAATCCTGTTCGCGCACTATCTCTTTAGGAAAAGCGTTCCACTGTTAAGTAATTCTAACAAAGAATGAGTGCAAAAAACAATTTACTCTTGACTAGCTGATGGCTGTCTTAATTTGAATGAATGGTTTGATCTTGTTTTACCACAACAATTAAATTCAAAATAATCATTACAGTTAAGGCCATTAAGACCATGAAATAGTCTTGTAGCACTCTAGCAAAGATAGATAACACCTCCTTGATTGAAGACTGGACCACCCAAGCATTGCCAGTCTTTCTTCGTACTTAGAGTCCCTAGATGACATCGGGAGAGCGTATCTCGAGGCCCTTCGTTGGACTCTTTCAAGAGCGTCAATGTTCTTCTGTAAATAGGGTGACCGGAGAGGGACAGCATATTCCAAAATGGGTATAACCAAGGCCTTGTACAGACGTGAAAAGACTTCCTTGTTCCCTGGACCAACATTCCTTTTAAGGAAACCCGCAATCTTGTTGGCTTTATTTACTACTTTCTGTGTTTGGGTGTTCCAGGATAGATTAGAAGTCAAGAGCTGATGTACAAAGGCTTTAAATTTGTGTCTAGGAAACACTCAGATACTTTGAGGAATACTGTTCCAAATTCTTCCACCAAATCTACAAAATGAATATTTAAATCATTTGTCCTAGAATATTTTATGTAAAGTCTACTTGTGAAGGGCCAAGAAATAAGTTACTTACTTAACTTCAATAACACCAAAGACAATTTCATGTGGGAGCCCGAGAAAATAATTTGGGTTTTGGCGAATCTACTTCGATTTTTTCTCGATCTTTTCTTCTTTTTCCCCTTGACTTTCTTTTTTTATCCAGTTTTGTTGCCTACTTAATCGTCTTCCCTTCGCTTGAAATTTTTACTGGCTTTCTTTCCAACAAAGAGACAAATTTAAAAAGTAAACAGTAGTAGGTAAATAGCAAAATTAGCAGTTGATTTCTCCCCAAAAGTTGCTTGTTTTTCTGTCTGTAACTCATTCAGGCTTGCTAAATGAAGTGCAGTGGAAAGTTCTATCCTCACTGATTTTGCTAATTACCATGTTAATAGCTAAGATTAAAAGCTTAATCGGTCCAGGGAGAACAATATGCATGGGTCCGTGTGGACCAAAAATCAGTGACCAAAGCGAACGTCAAAGAGTTAAGCTTTGGTGTGAATGGGGCTATAGTTTTTTCTCTAACTTTGTGGAAAGTGAGTGTCAAAATCTTCTACACATGCACACATTTCTCACGCTCTACGTAAATAAAAAAATTATACCCTTAACCTCAAAGTAATTTTAAAGGATCACACTTAAAATACCGTTATTTATCCGTTGGAAATTGTCAATTTTCAAAAGCTTAAACATTTGTACCAAAACGGGTTACTTTCATATATCTTAACAGTAAATAGAACTCATGTTCAAATACGGTATGTTTGTTCTCTAGACTTGATGACGATGATGATGGGGCAGCTCTAGTTGATGTCCTCGAATGCACAAGGGAGCCCACTCCATATGATCACCCGACCAATAGCAACATAAAGTTCTGGGATTTACCTGGAATAGGGACTCCAGACTACCCTGACCTAGATACATACTGCAACAAAGTACAGCTGGAGAAGTACCACACGTACCTAATTTTCACAACCACTCGATTCAAAGCGAACGAGTTGAAATTGGCAAAAAAAGTGAGATCGATTGGAAAGAAATTTTTCTTTATTCGCACAAAAATTGATGAAAGCAAAAATTCGACGAGGAAGCAATGCTAGCAAGAATCCGAGAAAACGATTTTGTGTCTCTCGGTAACCTGCTGACTGACGATCAAGATATATTTTTGATCAGCAACCATGACCCCGACAAGTGAGACTTTGTTAGACTGACCCAGGCTATTCTAGATGCATTGACGAGATACCAGCGAGAAAGCATGACCTTTGCCCTTGGGAAAGTCATAACAAGGTCGTCAGAAGATATTTTTCAGAGAAAAGTCAATGTTCTTAGACAACGCATATGGAAGGTTGCTACAGCATCTGGTGCCGTTGCTGCCATTCCAGTACCGGGACTGTCCTTTGCTGTTGACGCTGCCCTAATACTGAGGGAACTCAGCTTGTACAGAAGTCAGCTTGGCCTTCCTGAAATCGGATCTGCTGAGTTTGTCCAGCTACACTTCGCCACCAAAGAAAAAGTACTCAGTGTCACCCTTACCACTGCTGCACAACTGAGCCCATATTTTGCATCTTATGCTGCTTCTACAGCCATCGAGGAATTCGCTCGTTATATTCCCTTTATTGGTGTGGCCATAGCCAGCGGTATCTCGTTCAGTGCTACATATTATGCCCTGAGTAAACTCTTAACAAATGTTGAAGAAGTTGCGAAGTTATTTCTAAAGGAGGCTGCAAATGTGGTTGATTGACTTGCGTAGAGGTGATTCATACAATCTAAGTTCCCAAACTCCTGATCTGGCATATGAACTTGCATTAGATATACGAAACTCTGATCTTATTCGTCTCTCCATTGTCAAATTCCCCTTTTAGCTGTTATTGTTTGCAATCAGAGCTGCACTGCAGTCATTTGCAGGCCTGCAACTCGTAGTCAGGTTAGTCGACATACCTCAACTAAATTAGTTAAATATAGCGACAATAGTCTGAATAGCACACCGTAAAGCTACGGTAAAGCGGGCATCAAATATCATGGAGCAATTTGTTTTGCAGCATTAATGATGTTATGCATTTTTATATGTACCACCCACAACCCACGTATAGGAGTAGCCGTCATTATAGAGTTCAATTTTAACGCTCATTCTTATTTTCTAAATGATAGTTTAACCTAATAAGAACCTACATTTTTCCAAGTTACCCTAAAGAGGTTCTTACTTAAATGGTAATTAGCAAAAAATTAGGCTATTTTGGTTCCTAAATAGGTTCTGGGGTTCTTATTTTCTAAAGAATAAAATAGATTGTAGCTACGAGTATATACTCTGGTGTTCAGCTCATTCCTTAGGCAAAATCTGCATACCGTTACATTGCAGTTGAAGTAATAAGGCACTTATGTCTCCAAAGAGGATCCTGAATGTTAAACTATCTTATTTGACCAAGTATACAGAATTCTATTATAGATTTTAGACATAAATACGACCCTTTTTTAAATTCTGGGCTTAACCGGTTCCTGTATAGAGGGGGCCTTACAGGCAACTTTTAGCCTCAAAGGTTCTTAAAAACCATGTTCTAAGTCGCGGGTTTTTACTGTATTTTTGTTGCTTACCTAAATGTAGCTATTCTCTTAGTCACCTTATTAGGTCTTCTTTACATAATTTGTTTTAAGTTGTATTTTTTCCTACAAATTTCCTTTAGCTCACAATACTTGTTGTGTAGGGGGTGGGGGACAGGGGGTGGTGGTGTGAGGGTGCTGGCAGTTCGACAGCTGTTTTCGTTTTGCCGTGGTAACCCTGTAAGACCCTGTAATTTTGTATGCAGTTGATTCACTCCCAACTAGCCTTATTTGTTTTGGGTTAATTTTTGAATTTCCTCAAATCTACTCTGAATTATTCGCAACCAATATTTGCTCACTACGTTCAGTTGCCAATTCTCACTTGGTTTGTCTAATTGGAGTACCAGCCCTCAAATCAACAAATTTTCAAGCCTCCCCAATGATGTGTAGTTATCAATAGCCAGCTTATCATCTAGTCTCATTTCAATGGCTTTCTGTCAGATTCATTTACCTGGTTAACATCCATACATAAATCTGTGCCAGCATGTAACTTGTCTGTTGAACATTTTGCTGGAAAGTAAAAAGCAATAAAACTGATTTACTGTTACTGTTGCTGCCAGTTACTGAAGGAATGTTCTTGACAGTGACTGGCATTACAACAACCTGTGTTACAGTGTGTGGTAGTCATCTTCATGCAGAAAGTCAAAGTGAGATGTATCAACTCCATATTGAGTTTAAAAACTCTGGTTTGACCTGTTTGATCAATCAACTAATGATGTTTTTGGCTGTCTGTCAGTCATGCCGTCATGTTATTGGCTATGAAGACTCTGAAATGTCATTTGTGTCTTTCGACCCGTGTACAGTCATGCATGTCATTGTCAGTTTTGCTTGAGTCCATTAATAAGTGGCGCAGGGGTATCTTGGAGAACATCAAACATGCCCCGAACGCCGACGTTCATGTTGACTGCAGACCATGCAGACTGCGTAGACTGAGTGTTACTTTTGTTCACTTGTACGTTAATTTTTCTTGCTTGACATGAACAAATTAAGTAGTTCACTAGATTCATGCTTCTTTTTGTTACACCTCTGTGCACCAAATGTGTACCGGCCATGGCTAAATGAAATAACCACGGGCTCATGCTAAATATAACAATCAGTCTGCATGGTCTGCATAATTATCAATATTACTGAAATGCCGATGACTCTCTGAAGTTTAGTTTTTAGGAAACTGGGTAAATCGGGCTTCAGACCAGTTTATCGAGTTATAAGTGACCGTAAATATGGAACCTGATTCATTCACCTTACTAATCCTAAGCACTGATCTTCAGAGTCGCATTCTGCATTCAGCGCCCCTTCAACATTCTGCAAAAATACCCCTGCCTGTCAATACATCGTTTGTATCACCCCATGCAAGGGAATCTGGATTCCAGAATCCAGGAAAGTCTTGCTTGCGGATCCAAAATCCTAGAGTTTGGATTCCCACTAACGATTGGAATCTGGAATCAAGGTCCCACTGACAAAGAATCCAGAATCTAGTACCTGGAATGCGAAATCCATGGTGTGGAATCCACAATCAAAGATTGTCTTGCCTTACAAGGCTCTTACACTGATGGGGGTGGTTTGTATGGTGCCAGCAGCAAAAATTACTGGCACCATTGTTAACAAGAATAATAATATAGGAATCGCAGAATCAATTTACCTTAACACAAGAGCAGCGACATAATTTACAAAGCGCCTTGTCTTCTGCTTTATGAAAGTAGATATGATCCTCACAAATAATGAACAACTACCAATGTGATTGGAAAAGAACCTTAAAAAATTGACGCTTTACCAGCCTCAATTTTTCAAATTTTTTCACTTAGGTTGTTCATCCCTGAACTTTGTGATGAAGGAACTGTAGAGCACCTGGTTGTGGTGGAAGTTAGATGACTAAGAATAAAAAGAAATCGATGTTTCTTGTTTAGATGTTTCTTTAAACCTCGTTTGCGCACATAATAGATCAAGTGACTGTCTTTTGCGGTTTCAAGCACAAATATTCCAGTCAGTCAGCGAGCTTTTCCTAGAATCTCAGGGTAGATTCCAATGACGACAATCCACCATCTTGGATCTCAATGGCTCTTCAAATAAATGGATACACTATGACAAAGCTACCTGCCGCTGAGGCAAAAATCGCAGGCTTGTACGATGGCGCAATCTGATTTGAATTTTAATCCAGTCAGATAGCCAGAATTCTTCCACGTCACAGATGGCGTAATCAGTTGATATATAACGACACGCCATCGCGTGAAAACGTCAGTTTTTCAAGGACTTTGAACTGTGCCTGAAGGACTTACGTTGCTGTGATTCTGAAAGTTTATCTAAACGAAACAAAGTTGTTCTATAATGGGTTGCAGTCTATCTAAAATGCAACTTGCTTGCGTGAATATGAGGAAGAGGGTAAGAAAAACTTACAAGGGCGAAAAGTTTTGTAATAAACAGTGAAAATAGAGGATAATTTGCGCAGTTAACTTTGCCGCTTGATTGCGAAGGAAAACCGTTTATATAGATTTGCGTCAACACCTGGGGTAATCGAAGACGAGCCAGTTGCTAACCTGCGCAAATACTAGTGCAGTAGCAAACGGTCATTTTGATTTTAAGTCATTCTATAGACTTGCCCGACAAAAGCTACAAAAGCTAAGCGAGAGGGGAAAAAACCTAATTTTAGCGAAGCGCGAAAACCGAAAGCGAAGCTCGAGATGGCTAAAAATATTAGAGAAGCGCATGCAAGAGAAAGTTTATGGTTCATTAAGTCAGAGTGAACAAGAAGCACACAACATCAGCAGGCAATTAGGCTTTGTTCACACTTCTAGTAACGGAAAGCTTTTGCGCCAACAAAAAAGCCATAGGACTTCTGTTCGCACATAAGAATGGTGATTTCTGCGTGATTTAGCGAAGCTGCTCTGCGCGAATCTCTAAAGTGGAGACTCGCATAACGGATAGGTGCTCAGACTATTAGCTTTTCGTGGCACCACGAAAAGCTATTCGATATAGTCTGGACATAGCCTTAAACTCCTGATCAAGCAGGTCGCTCGAGAACTTTATGGATTTTAAGGATCTTTAACTTTTAACTTATCGCTGTACACACAACTTTGGTTGCTCGTTATTAAATCGCCGAAAAGCGACATTCAAAACTGCAGCCAGTCCTACGTTAGATCGCTGAAAACTGATGATCGGGTTAAACAATGCAATTGTAGCCCTTTCCAAATCAGATGGGGTGTAGAACTTTATTTTGAGGGGTAAAATGTTTGTTAATCACAGTGAAAATTTGCATGGCCCTTCATGGCTCCGTAAAGTTCACCTTCAGACAAAACTCTTAACCGCTCGAAAAAATGTTACAGCTGTTTAAAAATGCTGATGTCAACTGGCTGCCTTGCTCTGCTAGCCCCTATGGTTATTCCAGGCGGCCAGTACTCTAATTTTGCTTTTAATATTTTCATTGTCTTAATTCATGATTGTTAAGCGAAGAGAGTGAGTACAAATAAAGATAAAGACTGAAAGAAGCGAGTCGTATTTAAATGCGCGGAAGAGTGAAGATAGAAACTTACTGACTGTACAATTAGCAACTATTTTTCGCCCCAGAATGGCCCTTGCCAATCGGCTGCCCATGTGGCTTCCGCCCTTTAACGAGTTCAATCTTATTTCTCTCTATTTTAACGTTGTTAGGCCACCAAGGCAAAGGCTTGGTCTGAGGAAGAGACTGAGATTCGATCCAGTCCTACCTGTGAGCATAAACAACTGCCACAGAAAACAACTGCACAGACCTCCTATGCCCAGCCAACAAGTCATGAAGACTTTTCAATATTAGCTTTCATGGCAGGAAAAGTTCTGATCATGACTGGGTTTACGTGAGTGAAAGACTAGAACAATCACAACCCGAGGGTTGTCCAAAATCCAAAATGCTTTCACAGAATTTTTTCAAACTTTGCCATAATTGAAGCAATTATGGCAGGTACATACTCCCTTAAGCCATTTCTAAAAAACACTCCTGGTACAGAGAAACACAAAAATAAATAAAAAACATATTGGTTTCATCAGGTTGCCATGGCGACTCCATTTGCAATAAAACCGAGATAATAAGAAATTTTCATGTTTATATAATACACAAATGTTGTGGTAGCCTTTTTCCCATATCTTTACTCATGCTGATGTAGTTAATGCTTAAACTTG